GGGGGGGGGGGGTGGGGTAGAGAGTCGTAATGCCCTACTTTGGGTCAACTCCGGCATGAATGAAATTCTTTCTCCTCTGTTATTGTTGTGGTTGCGATCGGAATAGGAATGAGGAATCCCAGTTCCTTCATGTGGAGGCCGACTCGAAGAATTTATTGCCTTTGGAGGAGGAGGTATTCGATCCTGGATGAGACCGGTCTTCCTGTACGAGGAAGTGTCTACGAAGGGAGATTCCTGGAGTTAAATACTTCCTCCTTCAAGGCTCACCGCATCTCAGCCGTTCCACGAGAAAGTCAGCGAATGAAAGACAGCCATAGCAATAGTGAAACGATTGTATAAAATCAACAACCATAAATATAACAAAGGCGCTAAAAAAATATTAGGGAAGGCAATAAATATTCTCATAAATAGGGCAACACCATTGCCAGCCGGCACTTCCCATCGGTGCAGGTAACTGGAAGCGGTTAGAGCCAGTCCATCTCAATGTGGACAGACGCGACATCTGTGAAATAAATTCTAAAACGGGAAGTTCACCGCCGAAGGGAGAGATGGAAGCCGTTGTTCATCTGCCTCATCTCCCCGTTCACCTCCGCCGGGGAGCCCGGGTTCTCCTTGCAGCCGTAGTTGCTCCGGAACAGTCCGTCCGTGCGGAGGCCCATGTCCCGGGCTTTCCTCTTCGCCTCGTTGATGTAATGGTCCTCGAGCTGCGGCCTTCGACCCAGCAGGTACATCACCTCTGTCGGGTTCGGAACGAGATTCGTTTTTCGATGATGGTAATATCAGTAGGAAAGTGGTCGTTTTAACGAGGAAATCGTCATTTCGACGAGAGAGACAAAGTCTTACGAAAGTGGAGCATTCCGTTGAGCATCTCCCGACAGCCCCAGGTGACGGCGTAGTTGTCGTAATCGGCCGCCACGACTTGATACTCCCCGAGAATCACTGCGACAGTTCGTAAACGCCAATCAGACTCGATCAGCCTCGATCAGACTCGATCGGCCTCGATCAGACTCGATCAGACGCGAAAAGCGAAAATGTTTTCCCACTCACGCGGCCATCCCGTGATGTAATATCGAAACCGTGGCGACTCGCCGTCGGGCAACAACGTGTTCTGGATGAAGGCTCGTCTTCCTATCCTAAACGGGAAAAAAAGAATAAAGGACCATTAGGGTCTACCGCAATGCAGGTGTCTCGATCGCACGGAATAATTAATGAGGTGGACACGAAGATTTTGCGTGGCCCGAGGGGAGAGATGCCACGAGATGCTGGACTCCAATGTGTTCATCCGTCTCGATGATAAGCACTGAGTGTCTCTGTAATGAATGTCCGGACCACGAAATGCTCGAGAAGTTGAGGTAAACAAAAATAGTTGGACCTTCTGTTACCAGAGTAAAACCTGTTCGAAAACGGAACGCGGATAGGATGGAAACCGGTC